CCGCGCGATATCCTTTCGACGTCGCGCGGCGCTTCGGCCAGCCAACCAATGATGGCTAGACTGCAAGTCGCTATAAGCTAAGCTACGCTGCAAGCTAACACAGCGGCGCATCTGTGCATGCCACGCCTAGCTAAGCAATGCCGCAACCCAGCCCCACCAACGCTACGGCCAGCAAAGCTGACCAGGCGGACATGCGCCCGAACTCAGGGCGTGAACACAGCGAAGCTGTATGATATCACCCTATCTGATGGCACTGCGCCTCAGCAACGCCATGACGCGCTCCCCGCAGGGAGTTGGCAGATCTGCTGAACAGCAACAGACAGCAAGGGGAGACCAGCGGCAGAGGCAGCGATACACCAGAGGAGGTGGCTAGGGTCGGACAGGCGCCAGGCAAAAAAAAAAAAAAAGGAGCCTGTTTTTCGAGAGCTCCGACATGCGCCAGACCAACAACAACCAACTACAACGCCTGCGTTCCGAGAACTCCAGGGCCTGGATACGTGTGTGTCGCCGACCCCCTGCACGGCCCTTGGTACCCAGCTGGCTACAACATCCCACTAGCCTTCTGGGCGTTGGTGGTTTAGAGAGTGTCCTCTTCCACCCCATCCTTCGTCTCCTTCGGGTAGGGGGGTACCCCTCCCCCTACCCCCTCCCCTGGGCTTGGACGGGAAGGGTCGCGAGGCGTCAGGGCGTCCAAAATTGTCTCGGCGATGGAGCCAACATCATTAGGTCCACCATGGTTTTGGTACCATTTGGGCGTCCTGAGGGGGGGGGGCTAATTAAAGCCCCCTATCTTGGTTGATCCATCTCGCCCAAGATGGCCCCAAGAAGCGCCCAGTAGGCCCCGAGAGGTCCCAAGCTGGCCCCAAGGTGGCCCCAGCAGGCCCCCAAGAGGCCCCCAGGAGGCGCCCAAGAGGCCCCAATAGACCCCCAGCGGCACCCAAGATGCTCCAAGAGGCCTCGACGAGAATGCCAAACCCTTGACTGCACGAAGGTGTTAGCCACATGGTGGCCTCTTGGGGGGGGTGCACTGATTAAGATGACCCTAAGAGCGCCTGGGGGGGGCCCAAACTGACCTCCAGGATGGCCCTATCTGGCCCAAGACCCAAGATGTCTCATACTGGCTTCCTCTGCGTGCTGACCACTTCCCTGATCGAGGCAATTCCTCCGGGCATAGTTTCTGGATGGGCTGGTGGGGATTCGCGAAGCGTCAACAATTTATCATGTGCTGCTTATGTGGATGTTGCCTCGTAGGGCCTGCCTGCTTTCTGACCGTGACTTGGCATTATATCGTTGCAAACTGGCCTCGTTGAATCATGCTTGTTTTTTGTTTTCCTCCAGTGCACTCACCTCGGGACGTCGTAAGGCTCGTCGTCCTCACCATCCCTCTTGGGACGCTCTGAGGCCAAGAGCGCGCGTACAGTCATGTCTCCACCAGCGGCGAGCGCGAGCAACTGCCGCCTCGCCTCGCGCCTCGCCGCCAAGGTGGGGTGAAACATATGCACGTGCTCGTGCTGGCTGACACAGGAGTCCTCCAGCAGCCAAGCAAACAATAAGCCGAGCGGCCTGCCCTGGCCAGCGCGGTGAGGCACCGCACTAGGCCTGCTGGTGCGAGAGAGCACGCAATTCCCATGCTCGAGGTGCGCCCCCCGTCTGCACTCGGCCGTGAAGCGGCACGTTCGGATGTAGAAGCGAATGCTGCCGTGCTCGGTGTGGAAAATTGCCAAGGCAAGCGCTCGACCCTCGGGGGGGGGGCCCGCCTCCTCCAGGAAGCGGCCCAGCCCCCCCCCTCAGCTGCCGAGCTCGCAGCTGCCGCCTGGAAGATGCAATCATGCTCTGGAGGCGGCGGCACTGTCTCAGGGGACTCAGCGCGCGGCTGCGGCTCAGCTGCGACGTCGCCGTCGCCGCCCCCCAAGCGTGGAATGGCGGCGGCGGCGTCGGGGCCGCCCTCGCAGTCGGACGGCCCAAAGAGGCCCCACTCCTCGTCGGACCCCATCGGCGTCGCAGGCACCATCGGCGCAAGCCCGTCAGACTCGGACTCCCCGGCGTCACCCTCGACGGCGCCATCCTCGAGCAGCTCGGGGTCGCGGCCGTCCTCGTCGCCCTCGTCGCGAATGGGCGCACAGCCAGACTTGGATGGGCCCGTCGACGGCCCCCCCGCCCCTCTTCCTCTTTCGAGGCTTCGGCGGCGGGGGCCTTACAGACCACAGGTCGCACTCCACGATCGGTCGATCCCGCACTCGTTGCAACGCGGGCTTGAACTGCGCGACCTGTCGGCCATCTGCGAAGAGCTCGTACCACCACACCTGGAACGGCCGTTTGTCCCAGGAGTCCTGGAAGCACGCCGTCGTCAGCTCCGACAAGATGCACCTGCCCAAGGTGGCGTCGGGGCCGTCGAGCTCCTTGGTAGGTGACAGGCCCAAGCAGCTTTCGCGATCTTGGGATGGTTCACGATCCATGGAAATGAACGTCGGCCTCCAAGGGGTAGCGTAGTGCAGCGCGACGTGGAAGAACAGCGTGACCTCGTCGCCCGCAGGAACCACTTCCAAGCCAGACCCCGCCACGACATCATGCGAACACATTGCAGGGGCCTTCCTGAACGAGAAGCTGATCACGTATTTGTTCGCCACCATGATTGCCTTGAAGAGCTTCTCCCCGACGGCGTGCTCCACCACGCGCCACACAACGGTCAACTTGTGCTTGAAGGTCTTGGAGATCTGGGTAGGCCCCTGGCAGATGCACCCCTCGGCTTCCCAGCAAAGGCGCCGAAGCCGACGGGTGCGTCGAAAGGCTTGCAGTCGACCTCGCGCGCGTGCGCACGCTTGGCAATCCACTTGGCAGACTCCACCTCCACGCTGCTGGTGTCGAGAACCCTCAGGACCTCGGACATCACAGACTCGCGCCTCCGCATGCACACGGCCGTCGGCAACGTGGAGCGCTGGATGACTAAGTCAGCGGGCCGCTCGTCGGCAGCAGAAGCATCGTTCCCAATGAAATACCAGTCCCTGGCATGCCGACCAGCCTCTGCGTTGGATCGTGCCCTCAGGTCCGCCTCCGCCGCCTGGCCAGAACGCCTGGTGGCAGCCGCGGCCCTCTTGTGCGCCATGAGCTTGACGGTCGCAGCCTTGAAGATGGGGCTCTCGAAGACCGACGACGCCGCGTCCTGCTCGCCGTCGGCCAGGGCGACTCCGTTGGGGGCATCGTCGTCGACCACGCGCACGGTCGGCGGGCGAGCTCCGTCGCGGCGGCTTCCCGAATGCAGGTCGCCCATTCCGATATTCCTGCAGCGCGGCAGCTGCCAAATCTTCGCACGGTTGCCGCTCCTCGGCGGATGACCCAGCGTACCTGGCAGATAACTCGGCCCCCAGAGCGGCGTCGACGAACACGCCGTTCGCCTCAATGCGCACGAACGCCCGCCACACCCACGGCCCCATCGGCGTCGACCTGCTCGCCCGCTGGGCTCGCCGCGCCTACACGTTCTCCTCCTCGGCGGCGGCCTTGGGCAGCCCGCGGAATATAGCCGTCTGCCACTTCAAGCGTTGCCTGAAAAGGGCGAGGCCGCTCATCGATGGCAGGTCGGTGCCCCAAGAAAACTTGCTGTCCTCGCTCTGCTGCAGGTTCTCGCTGTGAGTGCGCTCGGCGAAGGCAGCGCTGGTTGTCATTAGCGGGAGAATCCCCGCAAGCCCGGCCTTCGCCATCCTGCCGCCGATCCCACCGCGGGAACTGCAGTACTCCTTCCAGGGCGCCGTGTAGGTATCAAGGGCGCACTCGCTGGTGTTGGTCAGGTGCTCTTCTGTGGCGCCGTCGCCCCTCAGCACGTTGAACGTCTTGTGCGGGGTCTTCCTGTGCCTGACCTCCACGAGCTCGCAAGCGGCCGCTGCCGGCCTCGAGCATGCAAGGCGCGCGTCGAGCTGGGAACTCTCCGCCACCATGGTCGCCAGGGGCCAACTGCCGTCGTCGAAGATGAGAGCCGTCATCTGCTTCGTGAACTTCGCAACCTGCTTGGCATCACTGGCGGCCCAAATCGGGTAATCCCTGGAGCCGCTATCGATCAACTTCTTCTGTTGACGCACCTCCCATTCTGCTCCAGAGCGCGACAACTCATCCAATATTAAGTGGTGGCACGGCCCGTGGGTCCTGAGCGTGGGGGGCTCAAGTCTACGCCGAACTCGCCGCCGACCGATGGCGAAAGGGCGCGGCTTCGCCCCCTGGGCCCACGGCCGCCTGACACGGCGCATCGAGGCGCCCCCGCCCTGTCATGCAGCCGCGGGCCAGGTCGAACATCGCCGTGGCGAAGCCGAGTCCCCGCCCCGTCGGTTGGTAGAGGCAGTTCGGCGTAGAATTGAAACCTCGGACCTCGAAAACAAGTAAATGTCATCGCGGAAGCAACCGCTCTGCAGCCAAGACAACGTTTGCGTCTGTCGGGACTTGTTCTCCTCTCGCCACACGCTCGGGTCCTTCGGCTCGTCCACGTCGGCTCCAGAATCAACGGCCCGATCGACCGCTGGCTCCTCTGGATCCGCTGCGCCGCTGGCAACTCCAGCGAAATATGTAGAATACGCACTCGGGAAAATGTTGTGCACAAACGTTGCCAACCCAAGCCCGCAAACTGAATAATGAGACCCCGTCCAATTGCTCCTGTCCATCACGTCGGCCAGGCGCCTCGTGAGCGCCCGCGCGCCGACGGTCATCATGATGCGCAATGTCTGAGCCCGACTTCGACAGCATCCGTTCACATAGTGCTCGATCCTGTCAGCCCTGCGCCAGTCGCCGTTGAAGAGATTGCGCACTACCTCTCGCATGCGCACGTCCTCTGCGCGCTCGATCGGCATGAAGGTGTCGATGACGTCGGAGCGATGCCGAGAAGCCTCCAAGTCACTGCAGGCGCCGTGGATTATGACCAGCCTTTCTCTGATGAGTTCTCGCATGGCGTGTCGAAGGCCCATCATGTTCCCGCGCAGGCTCAGCTGGAGGCGGATGATGCGAGTGCTGACCTGGCCCTGCGCAGCCGAGCCCAATGTCGCCACCTTCGCTTTCTTGTGGGCATCGCAGACTAGGTGTAATGAATCTCTGGCCGGGTGTCGGCTCCGAACTCCGTTCTCGTACCTGATGTTTGCTCCAGCTTCGTCGCTAATGATCAAATCCACTGATCGGTGAAATGTATCGTCTAACTTCTTATCTAATGCTGTGTCTCCAATGTGGTTCATGAACGCGGTGATGTATTCAGCGCCTGTGCCGTCACCGCTCTGCAGCAGCGTGGGCTCGTGAACTGCGAAAGTCATGGTGCGGACTGAGTCGTCGGCCAGGTGCTGCTGCAAGCAGTACGCGCGCATGGATGATGCAACGTGCACTTCGTACTTGCTCTTGCTGGCCTCCACGATCGCCACTGGCCCTGTACTCGGTGTCGGAGAGACGACCCTGATGTGGTGCTTGGTGCCGTCGTACATCCGCATGCGGAACTGGGCAATGGGTATCGCACGCATTGGATCTGCATCGCCGACGGAATGTGCAGGTGCGCGGACCGAATGCAACATGAACTCTGAGAAGGTGTTTGCAGTCGTCTTCAAAACCTCGTAGAAACAATTGCTAAGAGCACCAAGCACCTCTGATAATTTTGATTGGTGCACACCGCTTTCATGACTGAGCCTCGTGAAACTGCACATCGTCGAAGTGGCGCGGGAGCCGTCACTGGCGCAAATCAACATGTCCAAGAGCAGCGGCACACCAGGCACAATATCTTGATCCCTGAGAGGCTTCAACTGCTGAACTATTGCTCGAGCCTCTCTGGGTATGAGTTGGGCGCCCCGCTTGTTGACTGCAAGGGGCGTGTAGCACTTCATGGGCAAGGACCTGAACAACTCTACACGGTCGGCTGCATGGGCTGGCGCAGCTACATGAGACACGCCGGGCAGCGGCAGCGGCCCTCCGAAATATTCGTCGTCGGAAATGATGGGCATGAGCGGCCCTCCGAAATCTTCATCGTCGTCGGAAATGATGGGCGCCAGCGGCCCTCCGAAATCTTCATCTTCGGAAATATGGGCGCCAGCTGCCGCTGCCATGACAGCTATGGCGATCCTCAAGAGGATCATCTCATATGAAGCGTTCGCACTCCTCTGCGAAACATATGGAATATAAAACTGAATGGCCAAAACGGCTTCGGCGGAGGGAGGAGGACAAGACAACATTCATGAGAGCGACCAGGGAATGGACAGCACAGAGGGGAGGAGGGAGGAATGAAATGTGGAGGATGACGATGCCCTGGCAATCAACTCGGGCCCAAGGGAAAGCAGGGCGGTGACAAGGCGACGGGGGGAGGGGCGAGGGGGAGGAGCGAGTGCGGAGGGGCAAGAGCGAGGAAGACAGAGGGAGAGAGAGAGAGAGAGACCGCGATGAGGAGGAGTAAGTGATGGGAGGAGGAGGTGAAGAGGGAAGGGCACGTACGTGCTGCAATGGTGTTTGGCATGGCCCCGCCACGCCAAGAAGGCCCCATGACGGCCCAAGAGGGTCCCAAGACGGCCACTGAGAGCCCCAAGGCGGCCCAAGAGGGACCCCAGAGCGCCCCGCGAAGCCCCCAAGACATCCCCGAGAGGGCCACAGGGGGCCCCCAAGACGGCCCCAAGGGAACCCCGCGATAGCCCGAGCCCTCCAAAACGGCGGTTGTCCCGAAGGTTGCCCCAATGACCCCATCTCCCCCATCACCCCCTTCATCCTTATTTAATCGCTTCGCTCATTCCGCCGGCCCATATTGTCGCACCGTTGTGGGCTAGCCGAGTTTTGGGGGCCGTTTTGGGGCCTCTTGGGGCCTCTTTTGGGCCTCTTGGGCGCCTCTTGGGGCGTCTTGGGGGCCTCTTGGGGGCCTCTTGGGGCCTTTTTGGGGCCTCCTGGGCGCCTTCTGGGGCGGAGGGCTCGATTTTTCAGTTCTCGGTTCCCCTCTTGAGCCCCTCTTGGGCCCGTCTTGGGGCCTCTTGGTCCGTCTTGGGCGGCACTTGGGCCGTCTTGGGGGCCCTCCTGGGCCGTTCCGGGGCCGTCTTGGGAGCCTCGTGGGCCGTCTTGGAGCGGTCTTGGGGGCCTCTTGGGCCGTCTTGGAGCGTCCGGAAGCCGAAAAAGCCAGAACACAAAAAACATCGAAAAAAACCAATGAAAATCAACGATTTTGGCCTCTTGGGGCTCTCTTCGGAGGCCTCTTGGAAGGCTCTTGGGGCGTCTTGGAGGCCTCTTGGGCTGTCTTGGGGGCCTTTTGGGCCGTCTTGGGGTCATCTTCGGCGTCTTCGAGCGCTCTTTGGGCGTCTCGGGGGCCTCTTGGGCAGTCTTGGGGGCCTCTTGGGGCACTCTGAGCGCGCTCTGGGGAGCCTGAGAGGCCGCACCCAGAAGGAAAACCATCTCTGAGTAGACTTGGTCGGGCGGTGGTCGGGCGGCGGTCGGGCGGCGGTCGGGCGGCGGTCGGGCGTTGGTCGGGGTACTTTTCGCCGGGGGACCCCCAGGGGCCGCCCCGCGCGCGCGAACTAGAAATACTGTTAATACTGTTAACCAGTTACCTGAGATCTTAGCACGCCCTGGCCCGTTGGGCCGGCGAATTCTGCTCCGTCATCCTCCTCTTCCCATATTCATCCTCCTTTTCTCCTCGTCGTCGCCGTCGTCGCCCACCGTCGTCGGTGTCGTCGGATGTCGTTGCCGTCGTCGATCGTCGTTCGTCGCCGTAGTCGTCGTCCATCGTCGTCGTCACCGTCGCCGCCTTGGAGAACGGAGGGGGAGGGTTAAAAGGAGAGGCGGTGCGTGAGTGCGAGGGAGAGGGACGGCGATGGCCCACCAAGAATGCATCAGCACAACCGTCGGGGCAACCATCGGGACAACCGTCGGGAAGATCATCGGGACACTTATCGGGGCAACTACCTGGAAAACCATCGGGACATCCATTTATCTCGGTTCTGCCTTGTTTTGTTGCCGAGACCGTGCGCCCGTCCAAAGTTGTTTGTGTTCGGTTGTTGTTGGTTGACCTTGCTGTAATGTTGCCTTCGATGGTGTAGAAATAACTGGTACTCCGCGTGGACTCGCCCTCAAAAGCTTTCACCCATTCAGTAGTCCGATCGTGCCATAATGGTTGCCCGATGGTTGTCGTTAAGGTTTCCCCAATGGTTGTCCCGATGGTTGTCCCGATGGTTGCCCAGATGGTTGGCGCGACGGCTGCCCCGATGGTTGCCCCGATGATTGCCCCGACGGTTGTCCCGATGGTTGTCCAGATTGATGTGCCCGATAATTGGCCCGATGGTTGTCTCATCGTTTCTTACGGTCTGCTTTCAAGCAATGATTATCCCGGCAAAGCAACCTAACAGCGATGTGTAGGAGCATATCTGGAAGCATTCCCCTTACGATTCGGATGATAATCCAGTTGTAGAATTCTGCTGTTCTCGCAGTCGTAGTCGCATTCGCGATGACAGTCGCAGTGGCAACGGCAGTCGCAGTCACAGCCTCAGCCTCAGCCTGCCTCAGCCTCAGCCTCAGCCTGCCTCAGCCTCAGCCTGCCTCAGCCTCAGCCTCAGCCTGCTTCAGCCTCAGCCTCAGTCTGCCTTCAGCCTCGGCCTCAGCCTCAGCCTGCCTCAGCCTCAGCCTGCATCAGCCTCAGCCTCAGCCTCAGCCTGCCTCAGCATCAGCCTGCCTCAGCCTCAGCCTCAGCCTGCCTCAGCCTCAGCCTGCCTCAGCCTCAGCCTCAGCCTGCTTCAGCCTCAGCCTCAGTCTGCCTTCAGCCTCGGCCTCAGCCTCAGCCTGCCTCAGCCTCAGCCTGCATCAGCCTCAGCCTCAGCCTCAGCCTGCCTCAGCATCAGCCTGCCTCAGCCTCAGCCTCAGCCTGCCTCAGCCTCAGCCTCAGCCTGCTTCAGCCTCAGCCTCAGTCTGCCTTCAGCCTCGGCCTCAGCCTCAGCCTGCCTCAGCCTGCCTCAGCCTCAGCCTCAGCCTCAGCCTCAGCCTCAGCCTCAGCCTCAGCCTCAGCTTCAGCCTCAGCCTCAGTCTGCCTTCAGCCTCGGCCTCAGCCTCAGCCTGCCGCAGCCTCAGCCTGCATCAGCCTCAGCCTTAGCCTCAGCCTGCCTCAGCATCAGCCTGCCTCAGCCTCAGCCTCAGCCTGCCTCAGCCTCAGCCTCAGCCTGCTTCAGCCTCAGCCTCAGTCTGCCTTCAGCCTCGGCCTCAGCCTCAGCCTGCCTCAGCCTCAGCCTGCATCAGCCTCAGCCTCAGCCTCACCTCAGCCTCAGCCTCAGCCTCAGCCTCAGCCTCAGCCTCAGCCTCAGCCTGCCTCAGCCTCAGCCTCAGCCTGCTCAGCCTCAGCCTCAGCCTCAGCCTCGGCCTCAGCCTCAGCCTGCCTCAGCCTCAGCCTGCCTCAGCCTCAGCCTCAGCCTGCCTCAGCCTCAGCCTGCCTCAGCATCAGCCTCAGCCTCATCAGCCTCAGCCTCAGCCTCGGCCTCAGCCTCAGCCTCAGCCTCAGCCTCAGCCTGCCATCAGCCTCAGCCTCAGCCTCAGCCTCAGCCTGCCTCAGCCTCAGCCTCAGCCTGCTTCAGCCTCAGCCTCAGTCTGCCTTCAGCCTCGGCTCAGCCTCAGCCTCAGCCTCAGCTGCATCAGCCTCAGCCTCAGCCTCAGCCTGCCTCAGCATCAGCCAGCAGCTCAGCCTCAGCCTCAGCCTGCCTCTCAGCCTCAGCCTCAGCCTGCTTCAGCCTCAGCCTCAGTCTGCCTCAGCCTCGGCCTCAGCCTCAGCCTGCCTCAGCCTCAGCCTGCCTCAGCCTCAGCCTCAGCCTGCCTCAGCATTCAAAATGTGGCCCGGGAATGGAACTCTGGGAACTCGAAGAACACGAAGTGGCCTACAGTTGGCTCCGGGCATTCAAAATCATGCCCAGGAATGGAGTTCTGGGAACTCGAAGACCACGAAGTGGCCTACAGTTGGCTCCGGGCATTCAAAATGTGGCCCGGGAATGGAGTTCTGGGAACTCGAAGAGCACGAAGTGGCCTACAGTTGGCTCCGGGCATCCAAAATGTGGCCCGGGAATGGAGTTCTGGGAACTCGAAGAGCACGAAGTGGCCTACAGTTGGCTCCGGGCATCCAAAATGTGGCCCGGGAATGGAGTTCTGGGAAGTCGAAGAGCACGAAGTGGCCTACAGTTGGCTCCGGGCATTCAGAATGTGGCCCGGGAATGGAGTTCTGGGAGGTCGAAGAGCACGAAGTGTGTGACTGTTTGCGAAAAGCGCATTCGGACACGAGTTCGGACACAGCTCCCCGGATGCCGCCCCGACCCCCCTGTGGAGTCATCTGCTGCTCTCTTTTGACCCTACTAGAAACCTATCAGCAAAAGCTTTTAGGTAATCATTAAAATTATCCCGGCAAAGCAACCTAACAGCGATGTGTAGGAGCATATCTGGAAGCATTCCCCTTAAGATTCAGATGAGAATCCAGTTGTAGAATTCTGCTGTTCTCGCAGTCGTAGTCGCATTCGCGATGACAGTCGCA